GACAGAACAAGGAGCAACAGTTTCAAGTTTCAGCAAGGGAAGTTCAGGTTAGATATTAGGAAACGACTTTCTTGCTAGGAGGGTAGTAAAGCACTGGAGCAGGTTACCCAGAGAGCTTGGGAAATCTCCATCCTTGGAGGTGTTTAACTGGGCTGTGCGAAGCTTCAGGTGCTGATTCGATTGGGAAGAGATTCAAATCTCCAAATCCAAATTGAATCGGGACTAATTAAAAGGTCCGAAACAACAATTTTTGAAGCTCTCCGAACAGGGAGCTGGACCCGGACTCTGAGCTGGTAAGTAGGGGGCAGGAGAGGGGACCATGGTGGAAACCCTGCCAGGCCCCATCCCCTGCTGGCTCCCCCTGCCCCCCATGGCTGCCCCGCCTGCCCTAGATCCCCCAGTATTATAAATAATAAAAACGAAGCTCCCATTCACCAGGTGCTCGGCGGGGGGGGGGCAGGGGAATAGGGTGATCCCTACTGCTTCATGCTGCATGGGGGACTCTGCCACAACCTCCAGATCCCCACCTGCCCCAGCTCCAGCCCTTTAAGAAAAACAAAAAAAAACCCTCGATTTGCCAGCAGCCTCAGGGCTTCAGGGGGCTTGTGCAGAGCCCCCCACGGTGGTGTGGGCCAGTGGGGATCGCTCCCTGCTGGGCAGGATCCAGCAAGTTCAGGGTGTGTTGTTTTTTGTGTTCAAAGCTCTGGAAGCTGGGGCAGGTAGGGCAGCCATTGAGAGTGAGTGTGCAGTGGGGCCTGCGCGATTCAGAGATTCGGCCGATTTTGGCAGCAGCCGAATCTCCGAATCTGATTTGGCCAAATTGATTTGGGGGAGTGATTCGAATCACTGTCCCCTGAATCAGCTGAATCAGAATCTAAAGTGAATACTAGCTGCTTTACACAGGTCTAGTGTTTAAGACCCAGCTCATCAAAGCCTTGACTGGGATGATACAGTCGGGGCTTGTCCTGCTTTGAGCAGGGGGTCAGGCTAGATGATTTCCTGAGGTCCCTTCCAACCCTAATTTTCTATGATTTCTGTATCCCACAGGCTAAGTGTATGCACATTGGCAACTTTTGTTACAAAGCAGTTGACACTATACATTCCCATCCCTCTTACACTCCAGATAACTTCATGTCCCTGCTCTGAGACATGTGACATTTCTCCATTTTAATGCATAAGCAAAACTAAGGAAATGTGACTAGTGCTACCAGTAACATCTGACTCCTGTTTCTATCCTTTGCCTAGCCACATGTGTTCTTCCTCTGTAGCTCAAATGCAACTACGCTCTGTAGCATGGAATATCTTTGTTCAGGGCCCTTGACCAATATGGACATGCAATATTTTCCAGAAACTGGAGGCTATGGGATTTCTTTATGAATGGCTGAATGAAATTGATTTATTTTTTTCCCCTCTTTGACAAATCTTGTTTTATGTTAGTTAAACTATTTGCCTGACATCTAGATTCATGTCACATGTAAGTAAATTGGGTATTTCCAGCCTGGAGTGTGAATGGCTTGCATATCTCAAACTAGCATTTTCCTCAGCACATCTATTCTAATTCTGGAAAGTACTTTGCAGTACTACTGGCTGCCATTTTATGAGACAACTAAAAGAGGCATTTCCAGAGCCTTTTACATCTAGGAAGCTTCTACATTTTTATAGAAAACCAAAGTACCTCTGAGTGAGACTTTTTTTTTTTCTTTTAATGGAAAGAATGGAACAAGATATGGGGCCTCACTGGAACAAAAAACACAATCCCTCCATTGTGCTATTCCCAATTGGTGGCTGAATAAAAATATATGCTACATATCTGTGGCTGAATAAGAATATATGCTACATATCTTTTAAATATTGCA